TCTTGGTTTCATGAGGTACAACTTCACAAGTGTTACAAAAGTACTTCTGATATCAACTTTGTCTAGTAAAAGACTAACAGACGATTAGACGAAAGAGAGGGTTAAATGATGGTTCAAATAGTTTGTAATTTAGTCGGTTGACCATACATACTTAAACAAATGTGTTTTTGTTTCGACTTCGTTTTCGCAACTTGGTCGGAGCATCAGGGAGATCTTGCGGAATATACTTAGTTCCGTGTCCTCTGCTATAGTATTCGTGAGTTACGGCATCGTACGATTAATTTGGTATATTCCCAAACGAATACTATAGCAGAGGACACGGGACTAGGTATGTTCCGCAAGATCTCCCTGACGCTAAGACCAAGTTGCGAAAATGAAGTCGAACCAACAATATAAAGCTAAATGAGACCGCGACCAAACAGAAGGCCACACCATGTTTGCCTTCATATCTACGAAATATACCTGTTGATATTCAGAGTTTATAACACTAATTTTGCTAGCAATACAAGAGTCATTGAGAACTACGAAAGAAGAGAGGCTAGTGTGATTTTGTTAAAATTTTCAGAAATGAAAAAGACTAGCATTTGAAGCTGGATTCAGGGGGCTTTGCCAAAAAGGAGTGATGAAGAGCTGATTATAAAGAGTGAAATAAGGGTTTCTATATACACAATAAGCTAAACACGTTTATTCTGTATTGTACCCTGGTATATTAGAATTAATCACACCATATTTAGGCGTACCTTAATCTATTATTGATTAAGGAATTGGCGAAAATTAAATCGTGCATATTCGCAACAGACTTTTCTATTCTAGCTCCAATTTCCAAGCGAAAGTCTTACTCACGAGCTTCTCCCAATTCATTTGCAAGAAGTGATGGATTATTAGCTAGCGTTGGCAACGCCAGATTCGAAAGTGCCACGTAAATCCCAGGAGGGTCAGGAATGCGCGTAGAAACTCCACTAGTACCACCAATGACTGGCGGAAGAGAGAGTGGCAAAGGAGGACGTGGAAAGAAATCAGACGCATAGTCAATCATAATCTCAACGGCTGTGGAAGCGAACCGAGTGGACATAATGGCAGCGACACTAGCATTGATTGGACGAAATAGCGAAGGTGCGAACACGATTCCCAGGTTTCCAGAAGTCATTTGATTACGAGAGCTCTGCTGAACCACTCTGAAAAAATTACCAGAGTAGGATAAGAGGAGAATGAAAAAGGCAAAAAGGGGAGAATAGAGAGGAATGCAATTTAGAGACGATCATGACAAGTTAAATCTACGTTAAATCCATATGAATACACCAAAGCCTACAAATTTAGGTGAATAGCTTTCGAGAATATCAGTAATTCTCTAAAAAGAACTTAGACACCTTAGGTCATGACAGATAGAGTTTAATTTTCCAACAAATAAGTAGGCTCTGAATTTAGATTAGCCTTGCCTGTCAAAAGACAATCCCATTAGCACCCCTCTTGTCAGCAAGCCAGGCATTATCTAAATCATACTTATAATATATTTTTATTTAATAATTACTAATGGGCTCGAAAGCTGCCTAGATGGAGGATGAGTAACGTTGTCGATTACAATGGTAGATATATGCTTGCTTAATTAGCAATCCTGCTATAAGAATAACTTGAGCAAAACTTGCTTGCCTGAAATTTCATATCTTGTGACTCATTGGCATCGATGGCTGTATAATGAGGTGGCAACGTCGCCACGATACTCGAGACTATGAGTCAAATAACATTAAGGTTGCGATGGAAAGATGGGACAAAGTCAAAACTGCCGTCCAACCCAGTCTAGATATGATAGCCTTTTAGGAGGGAAGCCTAATTGAAATTGAATGGTATCGTGAGACCTAATCATGTCATGATGGAAAAGCTCATTTATTTCAGGATATTATAAAGATTGTCACTCTCACTTTCGCCTCTCTGAGCATTAATTAGGGAATCTCTATCATAGCATTTATTGTTTGAACCAGTCTAAAGGAGTCTGGCGTCGCTACTTTGGTAAAATCGACCCTAACGAGGGCTTCTATCAAGCAATATGCAAGGCAGGCTAGCCTGAAAAATGTAAAGTGTTGTTTAGGAAAGGGATGTTTAATCAGAATTGCTCTTGACATAGGGGATAGAATTAGAAAACCACGCCTTTAGCTACCAGTGGTGGACCTATGGAAGGTATCTTTGC